TCTTCTCCTTTTTCTTTTCTTTTTCTTTTTCTTTTTTTCTCCATTTTGCTGTTTACATGGGATGATGAATATACTCTATGACAACAAAAATGTCTAAAGAAATTTTAGAGAAAAAAAAAATCAGTGCTATAGGATATTTGATTTATCTCATGATACGTCGTGTGTGTGTGTGTGTGTGTGTGTGTGTGTGTGTGTGTGTGTGTGTGTGTGTGTGTGTGTGTGTGTGTGTGTGTGTGTGTGTGTGTGTGTGTGTGTGTGTCTCTCTCTCTCTCTCTCTCTCTCTCTCTCTCTCTCTCTCTCTCTCTCTCTCTCTCTCTCTCTCTCTCTCTCTCTCTCTCTCTCTTTTATTGATGTGTATTCTACTTTACAAATTATAAGAGGGTGTTCACAATGCTAAGCAATGAATCCTTTGCACTTTGCAATATGAACTTTGTCTATAATAGATATAAAGTACCTATTAAAACTGCTGTAAATAACCTATAGACCTTTTGGATAACCTGTGAGGTTGAAAAAAGTAATAATATCCCCTTAGAATGATTTGTGTGTGTGTGTGTGTGTGTGTGTGTGTGTGTGTGTGTGTGTGTGTGTGTGTGTGTGTGTGTGTGTGTGTGTGTGTGTGTGTGTGTGTGTGTGTGTGTGTGTGTGTGTGTGTGTATTTTACTACTGGTGTTACACATCTGATGCCCAACATTGTGAACCCACCCACTGTTTGATTTTGCACATATTCACAAAGTACATATTACGTCACATAGAAGTATAATGTAATATTGTGTGTTTTAGATGTTCTTTTGTTGCTTTTTGTGTATGATATATAATAGACTAGCAACCATACTTTTGAAAGGAGGTGTTGGCATGCCTTACTTCCTCTCATATCTTTATGTATATATATATTACTCAGTTAAGCCATTGATGTCTGGTTGCCATGTACATGATTGATTGATAGATTGATTTTTTTGTTTTGTTTTGTTTTGTTTTGTTCCATAAGACCAAGGAGCTATTTACTTGTCCTACCTATCTCACTGCTATATCCATTTCCTTGATTTTTGGAAATATTACAGAATGATGTATATTGCTACTAGTATTTTGATAACTGTATAATGATCATAATGTTAATAAAGATTCTAGTGATATTGATATTTAGAAAATTAGAGAAAAACATTTTTCCGAAAATTCTTGTAATGGAGAAATCATGTGAGGTCATGTAGGGCCAACTAGTTGACTCCATGGTAGAGCCATTTATTTGTAAGCAAAATGTACCTGGCACCAATGGGTTAACACTACTTTTTACATACTGTTTTCATGGCATGGACAAAAGATTTAGATTTGTGTACCACTTGTTTGTATTATTATTTTGTTGTTTTTTTCTCTTTCTCTCTCTTAGTTTTCTGCTCCAAGTGACCAAAACCAGCAATGAGAGATGTGTCTGAGGTTGACTTGCTATCCATTTGTTTTTGCAGGATGCTGCTCACCAGGGAATTATTTTGCAGGTTGGGGCCGACAAGGAGGTGGGAACGGGGGGAAAGAGCGTGGAAATCGGGGACAAGCTCGAGGACGAAGGATTGGAAGGCGTGCTGCTCTTTGACGAACCACAGAAGAAGGTCAAACAGAAGCTTGCCGATGGGCAGTACATCAACTTTTGCTCACACCTGAAGGAGAAATACAAGTTATAGCACAAGGCACTTCACTCTGCAGGAAAGGTGGCTACCATTGTTTGCAAAGATGTTTTTGATTTGTAATTGAGAAAAAAGTTTGTTGTCTTGGGTATATGATTTAGGTAGCCCCTTACAGAAGAGTGAACAGTGGCCGTTGCATAAAAGATACTGTTCAGTTCTGTTTCAGAAAACAAAAAATATAAATTGAAAATAGATAAATAAATAAAAATGAAAAATATACTTTTAAGGTTGCATTACCAGTAATTAGAATATATCTTTTTTCCTGATGTACTTACAAGGCAATAAGCCTGAATGCAGTGGCTTTAGCAGGGAAGAAGAGGCATTTGGGTGTGTTCTGGGTTATGGTCAGTAGTGCGTTCCAGTTTATAGACTATGATTGTAAATGTAAGGGAAAAGGGAAATATGATAATGATAGATCACACTAATATTATAGTGGTTTTATAATTTTATGTGTAGGTTGCAGAATTTATGGTACCTTGCATTAATGTTTATGATTTTTAAATGTTTTTATGGGGAGAGTATACCTCTGCAATAGAGTCTCATGGAGGGTAAATCTCACTTAGTGTGGGGATGGCAGTGAAGATCAATTCTTTTCATTCTTTCCTTAAACCTGTTCATACTGTATACCCTTCTACATTTCCACCAAGCAACAAAGGAGGTATCTTCGTGTGGCTATTGAAATTGCCATGGAGTGTATAGCAGTCACCAACAGTATGAAGTTAAGCATTGGTTAATGAAATATGTTCTCCGAGAACCTTAGATAAGACCATAATTCAGGATGATTATTTTTTCTTTATCTAATTTGGAAACCTATTTGGCTGCTTTCAAAAGTGAAGTTAGAGGATTTCCGTTGAGACATGTTACTATCTACTATTAGTCCTTGTATTTTTTCATAGAAAAATTATTCCTATCTAAAATAAACACCTCATTTCTTGCACAAGTGTGATAAAAATGGCCTTGAAAGTAGGAATGGTTAGGCCCCTATATATGTATGCATTATTCAGTCAGGTTGAAAGGATGTCTTGTAGAAAACCCAAGTTTACCTTAGAATAATTTTCAGCAACATCTTATGGGAGGGATTGTCATGTCTTGTTAGCCTGTACTTCATTGATGTACTTTTATTAACATTGTGATTGCCTTTCATGTACTTAATGAGAAAATGCTCAAGCATTTAGTAAGTGTTCTTTCTTTCTTTCTTTCTTTTTCTTTTCAGGAAAATGTTAATCCGTAGTCATAATCAACTTCCTTTGCTTTTCACATGAATTTTCTTGATATAAAGACTAAGACTGTCACTGTGTTACATATCTCACCAACATGTTTTCCAGATACAGATACATTGAAAGGGGAATGGTAATATATATTATCCCTAAAAGGACAGTATAACCTGTCTAAATTAGGTATAATAGTTATATAAGGCAAAGGACAACAATTTTTCATTTATTATTACAATTTTTTTTGTGTGTTCCTCATTTTTCTATCCTATGGGCAAACATTTTATATATTCAGGTCTGGCATGCAGCAGAAAGGGCAAAAGTAGCTTTTCCTATTATATTTTCCCTTAGATATAGAGCAACATTTGTCAAGCCTGCAAATTTATGTTCAAATGTAAATTAGGTGCTATATGTAGTTGTGTGAATGATCTCAGATCGAATAAATGTTTCAGGACTTATGTATCTCAAGTACTTCTATTCTAGGTAACAGATTATTTCTTCTTTGTTTCTGTTTTTACGGATTATCTCACAGGATTTAAAATTCTTGTCCCTGGTTGTTGAGATGCTGTGGCTATAGCTTGTGGCCTGATTTTCCTAGCAGACCACAAGAGTTTCCCCAGGCATCACTATTGGTGCCGTAGATGCAAACAAGAGAGTTAGCAACTGAGGTACCAATTAGTGATGTGACAAGGCATTTTGGCTTGTATTTTACAAATTAAAAAATCCAACATAGGTCAAACATAGGCTGTGGGAAAAGGTAATGTGCCTTTTCTTTCTTTCTTTCTGTCTTCTCCCTCCCCCCTTTCTGGGCATGAAGAGGGAAAGCCAAAAGCCTAGATTAGAAATGAATAACATGCTCTGAGTGCCCAGTATCCACTGTCCATGATTTTAAGTCCTGTATTGTAGGCCCATAAGAAAAATTGAGATTTGTGTTATTAGATGACAAACTTTATTCAATGTTTGACTTTATTCATATGTTTATGTAGAGATCCTTTATTGAATGTTATGATTAGAGATTATTTGATCTTTAGAATGCAGAAGCTAAGGAGTAGTACTGACAGCAACTTTGTTTTCATGAGGTAGGCTGGAGAAATCTCAAATAGGTTAGAAAATCACTGTAATTTAAAGATTGAACACTCTCATTACATTTCTCGTCTTTTGTTAAGAAGATTTGCAATTTTAACTTTATCCTTTGAGGAATATCAAATACTCTTGGTTGGTGATGTAATGAACTTGTGTTTGTTTTATAGTTCACTTTTGCTTCATCCTTTTAAATTTGCTTTGATGTTATAAAGCACTGTTTTGTAGAATGCATATTGTCATTGATGCTGTTGTTTTTTATTTGTGTGGAATGATTTTTATAGTTGTTGCAGTAATATAATTTTTGAAGGCCAGATACAAAGATCTATTTTTACAATGATTTTGTAAACATTTTCTTGGATTTTTAATTTACAACATGTTCTGTCTTGAACAGGGAAGTAAGACATTTGCATATACTTTTACAATCATATTTGTAAAGCAATTTTTAATAATGCTAACCATATTTTTATATATTTATTATGGGAGTAAAGAATTATGCAGTATTAATAGTTCTAAAATGGGGAAGGAGGATTTGTAAATAATTTTTTTTCTCTCACTCTCTCTTTTTTTTGTGAAAGTTAAATTGATACAGAAATGTTATTGATAAATTGTAAATGCTTTATTCATATTTTTTTTTAATCATTCAAGACATTTTGAACATACTTAGAAAGATAAACATCTTTAGTGAAGTTGTATGGAAAATTTAGGAAGCTTCACGTTAACAGAGTTGAGAATTTCATAAATTTACGGAGCAAAGGTCCAAGAAATGTACATTCGAAAGACTGTGGAGAATCAGTGCTCCAGTAAAGTAACCTAAAGTGTTAGTTTGTACCTGCTCTAACTTGCTATTGCACAAAGTACAGCTTGGTTTATGGAGTTTGAATATAATGGTGGTTGTGGTTAAGCTTCTGTGCTTTCTTTTGTATTTGATCAATGTGTGAAGTGATGTTTTCACTTTTCACACATTTAAGACAGTGTGACTTGCAAGCATGAGCATTATTTGAGCAATTTGTAAACTGATGCTTCGTATAAGTGTGTAAATCTTCCTACTGTGATTTCTTCACTCTTGTAACACCTACCATTTTGAACCATGACATTGGATATAGGCCATAAAGAAAGTAGTTTGTTTAAATTTTTAAATTTTAAAGTTTCAGAAAAGGATTGAGCAAGTGAGGTAATGTCAATGATTTATGTAGTATTGTATGCACATAACACAGCATTTGATATTACTGATCACGTATTATAGTTCTTCTGTCAATCCTCTAGAACTTAGGGATTGGTTACTAACATAAAAGTAGATATATTTTATATAACTGTTATGTTTGTTGCTGTAGTGTTATGATGAACTTGTTTAATTGATAAAACACTTATGATACAAATTCATATATAAGTGTGGGTATTATATATCCATACTTCAGTTCACAATTAATATCAAGGTGAAGTGTGGAAAAGAGAATCTGAACTTGAAAGAAAACACTAAACAGAGTGAAAAGTGATCTGAGTTTGAATTTCAGCTTAAGTCAGTTGTACTGCAAAATAAACTGTTTTTTCATAGATTTGGATTGATTTTCCTTCCATATGTTTACCCCGGAAAATTCATAGTATCTTGTAATATAGCTTTTAGAATATAGCCCGAACTGATACTTTTTTAATGCTCTCTGATAGTTCTTGAAAATTATTAATAAATAAGTTGATATGTATGAAATAAATTGGAAATAATAATAATGCAATTCCTTGTGAGTACACAAAACCTTACCCTTCACTGTAAGTTCAGTGTTTGACTCGATATACTGTGAACCACTGGTAGATCCTGCAATTTATAGGAATCCAGTCAAAGATTATTGAACAAATAGCAAGCCAGTATGCTGGCATAACAATTGCCTTGAAGTATGGTTGATCATATGTACAAAGGCATGGAAACTATTACACAAAACACCTTGGGCTATTCAGGCACAGCTTGATATTCTAAGGATGGTCCTGCTGATCATGTCTCTCCCTAGCTGAAGGAGGCATCTGAGACGATCTCCTATGTTGTGACCTAAGAATTTCAAAATGGATAGCGCCTTAATCTAGGAGTCAGCTAAAGGGATTCTTGTTGGTAGGAGGTGAAGGGTGGATGTAACCAAGGTCTATATAAGTAAATAAATCTTGGATGTGGCAATGTACCCTCTTCGGCACTAGACCTTTTTGATCTACCTATATACAAACGTTCCCTCGCTCTAGATACAGTATCAATTCTTATACAACTGCTTAATTATATGATCTTTATCCCTCCTAAAACTCTATACAGGATCTCTATGATCAGTCATACATTGTGACCAGTGCAGTTATGTGACCAATACTACATATGGTAGAGAATGTACCAACAAGTTATCTGCAGTCAAATGCAACCATGCATTTTCCCTCTGCCTCTCGTCCCTCCAGTATCCAGAGCAAATGACAAAGGAAATAACTCATCTTGGAACAAAGTTGAAGAATTATTTATCTATTTATTTCAGATTTGTATTGGAAATGCTGTTAAGATGAAATCGTAAAGGACAGGAGAATGCAACATTCTGTGCTCATTTGGACTCGTTGTTACAACCTGTTTTTACTATTTTCTTTATTTCATTAATTTCTGTTCTTAGAATAAAATCATTATGTTTCAATCATTTCTTGGAATGCTGGCAAATGGTCATACATTCATATCATACAAAATGTTGCTTTTACCAACAGTCACAGAGATAACATAACATTACATAAACATAAAAAGGTTCATCGCATATAGCCTTCTCTCGCTACATGATCATCACGTTAAAATCTCTCGAGCCAACGGCAATCCAGTTATTAAAATGGCGATTCCTATAGAGGTTTTGGAGGAGGGTCTGCAAGAGCTCTCTCCAGATGGCGCTGTTTCCTCTCGGCTCTGCGCATCTCCGTTTCTTGGCGCTTTTCCTCCTTGAGGCGCGCGTACCGAGCTTGTTCGCAGTTCTAGGAGAGAGAGGGAGGAATGTTATTGTTATTTTGAGGGCGAGTTTGTGTAGTTCTAGAAGAGAGAAAGTTATTGGTATTTTGAGAGTAATAGGGACTATTTCAGGTGGCAAATCATTTGTATTTGGCAAAGGCTTATTTTGTCGACAAAGTAATAGTAAGTAGCTCCCCCTCCCCACACCCACTAATATAAAAATATTGGGTATGCTCCTGGGAATAAATCATACCGTCTGTTCAGAACGGATGGTAAAAATATGCGCACTTAGAGACTATGAAGAAATTGCGAACGTGATTATAGTTTGGAGACTAACTTCTGCCACGCGTTTGATGAACTTTTTTATAAAAAATAATTCATATAATTACCAAAAATATAGAATCTCTTAGTTCCGGGCTTATGGTGTCTAGCTGAGCGCAGAGGTCTGTAACTCGGGCTTCCAAGAGGGCAAGCAGAGCCTCCTGTCCCATGCTGCTGTTGCCTGCGGAAACACTTGCGGCATCACTGTTTGGTTGCCCTGGGTGGCGACTGCTTGCTACAATATTTAGTAAACAAGAGTATTATTGTATAT